CTGTTTCACTTTCTATATTTACATTATTTATTACAACTACTGTACATGCAATAACCGGCCAAAGATAGTATACAGTGCGAGTCACAAAATATACACTTTTAGAATTGGCCATAGTTTTATTCTGTAGCAATTCAGATAAGATATGTTCATATGTAATTTTAGAGTAACTCTTCCTGCTTCTTTTGGTGACATTTTCACTTGATTAGTTTTCATGCATGACTGCACAGGAGACAATTAAAGGGGTCGGGTGAAATCTGACTTGTGCCAACTGGTCAGGGCTGGATAAGAAAGAGACAATTTAAAAGAACACACTATATGTAAATATAGAAAGTGAAACAGCATGACATGTGATCCTTGTTTCGGTATACACTGTATAAGGCATGACAGGCAATTGCACTTTATTATGGATTGAAATGTCGATTATTGCTCACCTCAATTCAACATAACCAAGCACAGAAGTAAACAAACCTAAGAGAACGTGAACGAGTAGGATAAACAAAAATATATGGCTTATATATATTTTTAAAATATATGGCTTACTTATAAACAACAATAACAGCAATAAAACGCAGGTTCTCATCAACGTGAAAATGTCCAGTAAATTCCATGCTTTAATCAAAAGTTATCTCAATTTAATAGAAATACCACAGCGTTTTGCTGTCCACCGCTGATCATTTACCGATACGCATTGATGATTACCTGTTAATTATAACGAACATTGTTTTTTTTTCTATCACATGTTTGAACGGAAACGTGCAAAGGAAAACAGACGAAACTCAATGTCATCATTTCAGAAAAAATTGATTTGTTTACCAAATTCAGAAAAGAGAGAAAAGTAATGTTGCAGCCTTGACTCAAATTATCAAAATAAAATAATGTATCTGAATGTCTGTGTGTAATCTCTGGTTCACACTCAGCTTAAAAGCATTCCAGAGGCAGCTGTAAAGATAATGGGTTCGGTTATTAAAACATGGCTAACTTTTGATATACCATGGATCAATTTCAGTATTTCTTTTTTTTTTCACATGAGTGGAAGAACATGCTCGTCTAATACGTGCTTTAATGGTTGGTCAAATACAATTGCTATTTTAAGGGGAAAACATTAATCCAAGTCTCTTTTTGACTCATCCTGTAGTCTGTTGTGGAAAGAAGGAATAAGAAAACAAGATCATTTATCTAGGCCTAATGGTAAAATTTAAATTGCCGGACTTGACTGGAGGCGCAGATAATTATTTAGATGAAGTTCTCCGTAAAGTACCAGTTTGTTATTAACGGTGATAGACATATAAGGATTTTCAAATCTTGAAGCATCGAACCACCCCCCCCCCCAAAAAAAAATCTCGTTCACAAATTCAGGGTTTCACTTCGGCCCAGTACCAGCCCAAATTGTGTCCAATCTCCAAGAAGGAGATTAGATATTAGAGGGCGCCATTTTAAAAGTAGCCGGCGGTATCATGCCAAATCTGAGGGCCGAAAACTCGAATATCAGTTGATTTAGCCCCGTTCAAAGAGTGAGCTTTTTTATTGTCGAGTATAAAATATAATTGGGAGTACAAAATGTACTTTTGAGTAGAAAACGACTCTCTATCTATTTGAGATTTGAGAGGAATTCCCAGTGAAGACGTCAGTGTCATCGAAGATTGATATTTCACAAGTCGGAGATCGTAGGTTCGATTCCAACCCAGCACATCTTATTTTTCCCCGGTTAGAAAACGATGCCACAGATATGTGAATCGTTTCCCCCCCTCGAAAATGGTGGTGGCCTCTTGGTAGATCTTTCTGCTCTGAGTCTAGAGGTAGCGGGCTGAAAACCCGGCTAGAGTTGTATTTTTTCTTTCACTCTACAAGTACAAACAAGCTTCATATGTTTACAATTAGAAGTCCTGCTGCAGAAGTGCCGGTGGCCAGGAGGTAAATCACGGTTCGAGTCCAGAAGTAAACTGCTCTGCTGGTATATCGACCCGGGTGGGAATCGAACCCACAACCTCCGGCATGAGCGTCAGAGTACGTACCTACCACCAGGCCCACACGCTCTGCTTACATGAGGTGTACAAACGTAATATTTAACTGCATGTATTGTGCTTGGAATAATGCGAACAGTAAAAGAAAGAAATATGGAAAACAAAGTAGAGTTAGCGCGCATGCGCTTTCTCATGAGGGTTGAAGAAAGTACAGCCAAGTCAGCGCGTATGTCAACTCGTTCTTTGGGGATATTTCAAAGCTCAAGCATAATTGGTGACTTTTTAAATTTCTTGTAGAATGGCTAAATGCGGTTATAATTCTAGACTGAAATTGGGAGTCAAAGGAAGTGTTTGCCTTAGCTTTTATGTGTTTACAATTTGAAGGAAACACTGTGCAGCGAATTGTTGGAAACTGCTGGGACTGGCAAAATGAAAACACAGAACAAATTAAAATTGTGACTTGCTCGAATGTGGCATGCACTAATTTATTCATCACTTTAAAGTAGTGCAATGGAGAGTTAACTCCGAACTTCACGCTAAATTTAGTGAGCAATAAACTCAATTTACATAAATAAAAGCAATGGTTTTGAATGATCTTAATATGTTGAACTTGATCACCTAAACTACTTTCAACAAAGCTGTACTCAAAAGAATAGAAAGCTGGAATAGATTGTAGGTATATACACCAATTTAAAAAAAAATACATCTTAAATAATTTTGTAGCAACTTGCCATGAAAATATCTTAACATAATAAACTTTCTTCCTATTGTCTTCAGTGGAACTATAACAAAAATGTCGGTGTAAAAAGCTCCCAAAAGTCACGACTATTATTTTATTATTCACGATAGAATCATTCACGTGCTAGCGATTCACAATTAACTTACGACTTCACACATCGATATCAATATCACTCTTCAAGATGGAAGAATATATACAATGCAATAGACAGGACAGTCAAATTTACTTACTGAAAAAAATAGTATTTTGGTTGTAATATGCATATGTACGATGCAGCAGCTCCATATCTCTGACTAGGCTGAAGAAATGCAAGACACGCAACTTGCACATGTCTCACGTGCATCGGGGAAACTGATTTTTCTGCTCAAGCGGTTAACTTCATCGACACCATTGGCAAGATGGTTCCACCTGAATCATTCAACCACATTACAACGAGTGAAATCTGCAGGCGTTTTAACTGCATGTTTCAAAAAGGTTAATTGTTTACAAAGACAAAAATGGAATGTAATTCGCTTTCTACACACTATTAAACTTTAGTATACGCATTGTTACAGCGCCTTTTCTTACAACATGTATATGTAAAATATATTGCAGAATGACAATAAAAATCAACAATTTACATAATTTAAAAGGCTCATCTTTCATGAAGCAGTTAGAAATTATTTACAAATTGCATATGTATTTCGGAAACAGGTGTACATGGCTACATGCACAGAGTTTCGGTTGAGATTAACCTCTAGAACTAAAATGAAAAATTTATTTAGTGCATTAAGTGTTGATTGGTGTCAGTCAGCCCCTTGTTTTGTGACTTCAATTTACCGACAATGAAAGTGCAAAGTGTCAAACAAGCATATATACAGTGGGACAAAGCATGTCATCGGTGAGGGCGCTCTATATGCTACGATGATTTATAATTGTTATGCGTGTCATTTCACAGCACCTAAGTCTCTTTTCATGATGCCTTTATTTAGAATTTATTTTTCACCATGTTGAACAGTGACAGCAGAAACGCTGCGAAGTCCCGAACGGCTGTACAAGTCTCACGTCTGTCAGCTGAAGAATTGTCTGTGGAACCATGAGATTCATCTGTATTGGGGATTGAGTTTCAGACATGAATGTCATTTAGTTACATTTCTCTGATATTTGATGGGAGAAAATATGGAGGCTTGAAACAGAGGGAGGGGCGGATAGGACATAATAGTCCAATACCTGATAAGGCCAAAAAAAAAAGTCTCCGGTTTCTGGTATGGAGCTTGTCCAAAAAGTGGTGCGGCGACGCGGCTTTTTTTTTTTTTTTTACCTGACTTTTTTGCTTCAAATGTCGACTGATAACTGCAAATGGTTCCCGACTAAACTTAGAGCAAATATATGGGAGTCCAGAGAGGCCACATGAAGCTCATTTTCGATCATAACCCCATCTAAAAACACGTTAAAATTGTGCAGCAGCAGGATTCCAGTCAAACCAGTGAGTTTGGCGGTTTTGAGACATCATCTTTTATTGAAAAAAAAACGTTTTCTTTTTGCCGACGCGCATGGCTACGGCGACGCGCGCGCATACCAGAAACCGGAGACTTTTTTTTTTTGGCCTAAAGGGACAATTTATATATTTACAGTTAAACAGGTGTTTAACCGGACAGTGCTATTGTAATAGGATTGTGCCGTAAAACCAGAACGAGTGGGATACATCCGGCCCACTGTATAGACCAGATGCATGTAAAGACTTCAAATGGATAGCCATTCTGAATTCATTAAAGAGCAATCTGTGCGCTTTGGGACCAGCTTTACTAGGCTTGCCTTGTCTTGTTTCATTCTATTGAAAGTGAAGTTACTGAATTGTGAAAAAAGTTTGCTTGTCAATATTACTGTCTATTTTTCAACCCTCAGTCGAGAGGCTGGAGGGGTATTGTCATTGCCTATACGGCGTCCATTCGTATGTCCGGGCAGCTTAGTGTCCGGATGATAACTTGAGTTACAAATGTTGTTTGGGATTGTTACTTCGTCAGGGGGTTGCCCTTTGGAGTAGGCAAGTTTGGATTGATTCTGGGATGAAAAGGTCCAAGGTCAAGGTCACCGTAATGAATTAAATGTCAATGGTTTCCGGATGATAACTTGAGTTAGAAATGTGATTTGGGTTTCTAACTTCAGAAGGGGGTTGCCCTTGGGTACATGCAAAATGGAATGAGTTTTGGGGTCAAAAAGTCAAAGGTCAAGGTCACCGTGGCGAGTTAAAGGTAAATGGTTTCCGGATACTTGAGTTAGAAATGTAATTTGGGTTTCTCACTCCATGCCCCAGTAGGGGGCTATTGCCCTTGCTGGTATAGGTAAGTTGGGATTTGGTCTGGGGCCAGAAGGTCAAAGGTCAAGGTCACAGTGATGAGTTGAAGGTGGTTTCCGGATGATAGCTTGACTCCGGCTGAGGGGTTTCAACAGCAACACTGTTATTTGAGTATTCTTTATTACAACGAATGACTGATTATAATTTTCTTATTTTTTATATTATTGTTTACCTTGAAGAACCGTGACAGTAACAACACCTCCCTCCTCTGTCCATTTTGTTGCAACTGAGGCCGGTTCTCTCGGCATTATACTCTGATTAGCCTCGGATTCATCTAAAAATAAAGGGCATAGGTCATATCACAGGTCATAGGTCACACTGATTGCAACATATGCTTGCAATCCTGTGTTACAACGGTCAAACTCCTTTTAAAAGTTTTTGAAGGGAGGGAAGTGGTTTGGCTACTTATTCTTTTTCAACAAAACAAATAATTGTACGGTCGAAGATTTTAAGGTTTTGAGTGTAAAGGGGTGTACGTATGGCTCATTTTTCTTTCAGTAAAGTAGCCATGGACTACCTATTTTGAACTGCATGTATATCGCTTTAAATGTTTAGAGTTTAAGATGCTGAGATGTTCGTTTTGCATTTTGGCTACTCTTTGGCTGCCCGTTGCAATGATGTACCAGCTGAAATGGGGAAGGTAGGGTTTAGAAGAAGCCCGTAACTTTGACTTCTGATTAGTACATTCTTTGATTTTAATTAAAATAGTGTGGTATTTTCAGCTCGTTTCACTATGAATAGGCCTATTTGTCAAATTAGCTACGACAGAAGCAGGGGGCAGTTTGGAAGCACTACAGCTACAACAACCCCTCCCAGCTCTGTGTGTTAATGTAATGATTTTGGAACAGTTTACCTTGATTTTCCCTCCTCACAGCTTCATAAATGTTTCTATTTCTCCTCTTCACACAGATGCAAATGCCTATGATAACGCCGATAGCAGTGATGAGTGCACACACTACAGGAACGACACTCTGCACAGCCGAGCCATCTGGAAGTTTTGCTGCCGAAAGAAAATGGAAATGCTGCTTCAGGTATGCGGCGGTGTGCTATTCATACACCTTCAGGATAATCATGCAAAGAACATTTGTTTTGACACGATCAATAGTCGGTGTTTCAGTCAAAACCAGATACAAGACCAATACGAGACCAATTGTAGAGAGAGTCCAAGAACAGCCGCAAGACCAGCCTCAAGTAACTGGGTACGCACAATGACAAAGAAATTCCTTCGGGGCAATTAATTTGAATCGCTGGTGGCTTGAATTGAGACTGGAGGTTTTGTGTCGGTCTGATGATGGTCATATGATCTCAACCACAACACTGTCAATAGTGTAACCACATCATCAAGAGGTTGAAATACAGGAGGTTACATGGACATGCGGTTTAATATACAACAAAATACTAGCAAAACTTAAGATATTAAGAAGATTCTAAAATTGCGACTCCCCATGTCTTTGCAGGACTTGCAATGAAATTAAGAGACCTCGCTGAGATAATACAAGTATCTAAACTGTTAAGGATTTCAACCTGACAAAAATGCAAAATATTGTTGTTACGTATTTTGTTAAAAAAAATTATCTTTATTTTATATACACTTTGAAGTACTTTTTATTGTTCATGTTTTTTTAATGAGTGAGTCTATAAATAAACACATTTAATTGTAGCATAACTGGTTTTAGTTGTTAAAGGAATAGTAAATGTAAAAATATCATATGAAGTTCACATGTACACATTAGTTTTTAACTGCGAGACATGTTTTTTAATAAACCATTACAAGTACTACAAAAAAGACTAGATGTTCAGAGTGTCTCACTGTCTTGCTGAATGTGTATTTAACCTCACATTAATGGTTGTTTTGGCAAGTGGCAAGCTGATCATCTTGACACTTGCCTAACAAACATATTTCCTGTGAGGTTAAATCCACATTCAGCAAGACAGTGATCTATAAGACGCTCTTTCGGCTTTATTTAGATGTCAGTTTCTAACTTCTGATTGTTGAAATGTTTGCTGATATCAGGGAGCCAGAACAGAGTCCTCTTTGTACCTATCTCACTGACTCACTGACTGACTCATTGACTAGACTGTTACTTGTAAACCGAACTAAAATGGGATTATCTCGCTGAAACCATGGATTGGCTAGCCTGTTCATCACCAGTCTTTCGCAGCACTTCAATAACTGTGCAAGCCAGTAATCAGATAATCGGTTACATGGGGTTTTGGATTCACACACAAGCTGATACAATGCTTTCGCCATTGGTAATCACGTACCCGGATTTGTCTACATCTAGTCCACGTTGTAGAACAATGCAAACAAAGACGATGCCACAAGCTTTCTGTAACATTTCGCGATGCCTTTTTTTGATTTAACTATCAGCAGAGGTACTTTATTGCCACACATTTTTAGTGATGTTATACAGGGTGGTAAAATAAAACACCGGAACATCAGACTTCCACTACCTTGATACTCAAACCACCTGTACAAATTGATGGAGAATTATGATACCAACATATCTCAATTCGGTCAAGTAGTTTCTGCTGCAGAGCCTATTTTGTGAAGGATACTTCTTTCATGAGGGCATTATTAGATAACGATCCCTATATCAATTACAAAATAAGCCAAATACCCGGGCGCGGTTTAGTAATTCATCGGGACAAAAATCACCTTGCTTCACAAAATAGGCTCAAGAACAAAAACTACTGGACAGAAGCTGGCGATCTTGGTTTCATTTTTCTTCTAAAGAGATTATCCGTGCATTGTTATAATTGGTTTGAATCTCCGAATAGTGGAAGTATGAGGTTCCGGATTTTTTGACCACCCTGTATAGTTCATTGTAATCCCACCTTGAACGGTCCGATTTTTCTGAGAAATTAGTTCATCACTGTGGTCAACGCTCCTACTGGTTGCACTGTCCATTGTTGAGCCCGGAACTATTAATAAAATGTAGATTGAAATGGTGAGACCAAATCTGAATGTTTCATAACAAATAATACAAAATAAAGTTGGCTAGCAAGTGCAAATGTAGAGGACTTTGTTCAGGTGGATAGCCTTTTGATAGAAACATGGAAGAGTTGATCACGGAGAAAGCCCAAACAGGAAAGGGCGAATTACACTTTATTGACGATTATGCCTTACATGCAGACAAAGCATTGAGCCCAGCAAGGAATTTACTATTAATCAAACGTGTAAAACAAGCAGGCAAACGTTGGTCATTGAATTACCTGTCTCAATGACGTCATAATATGCAGAAGACATTTCTTGGTGATGCAGAAACACATGACACCAGACACGACTGGTTGGCATGTCTAATGTGTTTAAAACCAACGAGCCACCAACGGTGATGTTGTAATCGCCACGGTAATCATCTGCAACCATGATTCCCCCACCAGAGAACTTCACACCGATGATGCTGGTTCTCATGGTGTCTCCGCTGCCAAGGGACCAGTAGACAGTGGCAGCCTGTTTGTGCATGCGCAGTACGGGACATGTCAACTTCACGTGTCCTTGCCCTTTTTCGAGAATGTTTACAACCTGTGCATTGTCCACGATTGGAAATGTGGGACCTGTGGGAAATATAAAAGAACAAGTCTGTATTAACAGGAAGTTCGCAATAACTGTAGAGTAGAGGGTGGGTTTACATAATTATGTACACGGTGAAATATGTTTCTTGCCTTAAACTCCATGTGATACTAATAAAACCAAAACGATTTCAGTTTGAACTAAGAGACATCAAGGACAATGCTCTTTTTTCCATAAATAGTGAAAGGACAATTTTACGGAATGAAAGACTTTAGATACTGAGAAAACTGTGGAGATTTTAGTCCTAAGCAAGATTTTAGGAAAGCAAAAGTGATTAATTGGGTACCGACACACACATTCGTAAAAGTCATTGGGTGGGACTCAAACCAGGATCCAACAGCATGGAAAAGAGGTTAATTAGCACCATAGAAATTATTGTGCAATTAGTTAATAGTAATGGCAAGTGATGCATGCAGATGCTTCACCTGACACAGTAACTCGCACTGATCCTTTTCTTTGCACCCCTGTCGCACTGGGCACCACACCGCACACGTAGTCTCCTTCATCAGCCGCTTGAACTTGGTTTATGACCAACCCGTATGAACTGGACATCCAGTAATGACGACTCGAAATAAAGTTAGTACCAACTTCTGGGTTGGCGTATCGGGCTATAAGTTGGCTTCCTTTGAACCAGAAGACCAAACTCACGGACTCCTCTTCCCTGTAGCTTGGACACTGAATGTGATGAGTCTGGTTCCGGTGTACGTAGACCTCACCTGCTGTTAGGTCCATGGCCTCTTTAAAGCTCGGGACATCAGCTGAATGAAAATAAAATCGAACATTTCTAAAATGGACGCACAACAGAAGCTTCGTGTAAGAGGAGATTTTGACATTAGTGCTTTCATTACCATTTTCTAATGATAAAGCAAGTTCATTGATTTCTTCAACTCTTTCCGAAAATTTATATTGATGTTATATATGCTGAATTTTAAAACTGGGGGACTTTTGGGTAACATTTCCTTGCATATATTTTGTATTAATATATTCTCATTGTTTGCTTTTTTGACATTAAGAACGCCCCGATTATAATGCAATTTTTTCGGTATTTTTTTAGACGGGGTTAACCTTAGTACAGGGTTAGTCAGAAAACAAGAAACCCACGTGTCGGGACCATTGTTTTAGTGAAGTTCTGTACGTAGCACTTTCAAAATCTCAGATATGAGAGCCCATTTCGTAAGCTCTCTTTCAGTACAAGAATTATTCGAATCACTCATGTAATTTGCAAGTTACGGAATTTTACACGCAACCACCGTTTTAAAGTTCTATCCACGGATCACAAAAATAGAAGTGTTCTTTCAGAAAATCAAAACAAATCACATAGGGGTGTATGGTTTTCGTTTTGCTGAAAGAACGCACGCCTTTTTGTGATATGTGGACAGAACTTTAAAACGGTGGTTGTGTTTAAAATTTCATAACTTAAAAAATATTTAGCTATGAGGGCCCTAATCCCAACAAATTGTCTTCAATCAGTAAAATGTAATGCAAATATATACTCACTCAGGACAGTGACAGAAATAGTTTGCCTCCTCTCTAACGCAGTAGCGCTGGAGACTACACTGCAAACATACTCCCCCTGGTCCCTCATGTCGACATGACTTATGATCAAATCATGCGAGTGGGACATCCGATAACGATCGCTCGAAGCATAACTACTGTCAACTTTGCGATCGGTATAGCGGGTAAGTAGTTGTTCCCCTTTGAACCAAATCACGTGACGCAATCGTTCGTTATTGTTGTAGCTGGGGCACCGGATGTGCTGAGTTTGACCTCTGTGAAGAATGACCTCGTTCGGTGAGAGGTAAGTCGGTAATTTGACATTCCCAGCTGCGAAATAAATAGATTTTTAAATACGTAAGGTGCTAAATTAATCTGATTAAAAAAATAAAATTTAATTTATCTAAATTAATCTTAATTTTCGGTGTTCTCAATTACTTAGCTTACTGTTGCTGACAATGACGCAAGGTAGTTTGAAAGAGGAAGTCTAAAACTCCAACTTCAGTTTTTGCTAGTCCGAGGGGACAGCCTATACTATTCCTTTATGTACAACACTGATTTACTGACTCACTCTCACTTATGAGCTGAGCATTGGTACTGTATAATTATGACTGATCCGTTATGCTATTTTTGTGTGACCAGTCAATATTCTAACATACAGGTCTCATCAGGAACATTTTTAATACGCGTAATGTTACTACCGCATAGGCTGTACGTTATGATGAGCCATTTACTTTAAGAAGCAGTTCCCTCTGTAGTTACAGAAAACGTTTGCTGTAGCGCCCTTGCTTGTTTGCTTACATTGCTGCATCCAGCAAGCACTTTTTGGGATAGCCAGCTGTATTCAACGGGCACATTCCGACATATCTAAAATGCTGGTGTATATTGTTGTCGTTCTACTCAGCTGCTCATGCGTGCTTCATCGCAAACTTGGCACTGTTTGGGGTCACGTACGTGATTCAAAAAGACTTTCGATCGTTCATGTGGGTCGCTTTTTCGCTTGAGATTTATTTATTTATTTATTTATTTTTTCAGATATTTGAAGCTATCACACAGGGCAAACAAATACTGAACATAAAACCTGACGTGGCGAATTTTTTTTTTTTTTTACATAGAATAGGTTTGTTATCGCTAGATGGTTTGTTTTGATAAAAAATAACCAATTTTAAAAGCCCACTATATAAACGGTATTGTTTTAGTGTTTTTTGGATTGCTCGATAGGTAGTACTCAATCGAACTCAATGTACTTTGAGGGCAGGTTCTGACCGGCAAACTGGGGCTAAAAACCTAAAGTGAGAGTTTGATTTTTATGAAGCAAGTATTTGAATATCGGTGATAAATAATATAAGCATGTAGCGCTATTTTTAAGTGTTTTATATGACGACAGACGACATTTTACACACAACATTTAATCAATTCCGACGAATAAAAAACGTGTTGGTTTTTAGACAATATTCAAACGCGACTGTTCTCGGCAATCTACTTGCACCGATTAGAATGTTCGTCTTCTAATTAATGTAGTGAAGCACATGACTTGCGACAAAAACGAACAGTGCAACCATTACAATTGGAAAATTAAGATCCATTTTCAGAAGTTGAAATTCCCGCTTTGGTTATTGAGGGCGCTCTCATTCTTTCATTGGTAGCTGAACTACTGTTGAAAGGAAGGCAGCCGATATGAAAAAAAAAAATAAAAAAAAAAAAAGTACGTTGAAACATTATTGAAACATTAGTGAAACTTTAATGGTCATTCTGTTTGTTAGAAACCAATTAATCGGGCTAAAAATGGTTTCTGGAATGAGAGTAAACACTGTTTTAGGAATTTATGATGGATGTACCTTACCTAACAAATTAATGGTATCGTCAGTGTCAGAGGTCACTGACCTTTGAAAACGTCAGGCACGAAAAGAAAACAAGTTCATGTAGAGGACACGTCATGATCGTTATATATTTCCTACAATTATTTTGATTTCCCCTCCCTTCGCCATCATCAGGGAAAAGACATCTCTGAACTAATCTGGATAGTCATATACATGTAACAACAATTTATTGATACATATAGTGCAATTGACGCACCAATCGACATAAAAGAAACACACCACATTACATGTGTATGTCAAATCATCAAATCGTGCAAATTGCGTACCTTATTTATTAAAATAACCTTATTCAATATAACGGTTAAAAAATAGATTAATGATGGTTAGGCAATAAGGCGGCAACTCGAAGGCACTCAACCCATGAACCCTGCACCTCGATCCGAACATCACGTGACGTTTGCATACAAAGTCTATTTGCATTGTTGGCTTCAGAAAATGGCGCCAATAATAGCGCGCCACACTGAAATACGTAGGCCTACTGTACGCCAGGAAATCACCTAATGATCGATTTTCTCAGATGGTTCCACATATTGGCTACAAGTCTTTGCATGGAACTACACACCAACAATGGGTGCTGCCTTCTACGGCGATTGTGTCAGGTATTTCTCAGTTTGTTTTCATGTATGGATAAAACACGCATATACCTGTAGGTCTAACAAATAACGATTACCGAGCAGGTTGAATTCTGCTACTTTGCATGTTTTCACTAATAAAATACATCAACAGATACCAGTCTGCATGTGAACTTAGTTAATAAAACTGCACAGGTAGAATAGGCAAAGCTACTTCTTGTTTGCATCCAGATAATAGTCATGATGAATCAACAATAATTGTTGATTCATATGGCTCTTTTTTTTTTCCATGAGACCAGCTTTAATAAGCTTGAGCTGTCTTTTTTCCACTTTTTCACTGAGCAACCAAAACACACTTTACAATTTCTTAGCAAATAAATTTGATGAACGCAGGATAGTTTGGCTTTGTACCAATTATTACCTTGATATAAAGAACGGACAGTTGTATTTCATTTAAATTATGTTGAATAACGTTCTGTCAAATCCAAGAAGGCAAGAGCTTTTGTGATCCACATTGAATGTTTGCATATATGTAAATTTTTCCAAATCCATACCCCGATATTTATGCCTATTCCGCAGCCTACAACCAAATTGATCACCTAACCGCCATACAAGGTTCACTTGTAGACAACAAATAGCAATAGCATTCAGATCAAATTGTAACAAGCCTAGGCCCTATATCGATTGTTATATACATGAATATATATATCTAAAAAAAAGATTATCTGGGTCCCGTACTTACCTGTTCTCGTTAGTCTACCTGCACCAATTGGGTGTTCGTCTTCTAAGTAATGTAGTGAAGCACATGTGTCAAAAACGAACAATGCAACCATTAAAATTGGAAAATTAAGATCCATTTTCAGAGGTTTGAATTTGAATGTCCCACTTTTTAGAGGTTTGAAATTGAGTGCGCTTTCCTTTTATTGGTAGACTAACTTCTATTGAGGGAAATGCCACCCATATCAAAAAGGGACATAGGTAAAAACACACGTAAACAAAATAACAAAAATAAGTAATACAAGTAAATAATTGATACTTTAATGTCATTCTGTTGATTAAAAACCAATCAGGCTAAAATTTGGCTTTCAGAATAATAGTAAACACTGTTTTAGGAACTTATGATGAATGTACCTCACCTAAAAAAATAATGGTATCGTCTGCAGTGCAGCTGAGTGCGGTTGGGCTTTAAAGCGGGAACTCGCAGGGCCCCGACCTATTGAACCCTGCATCTCAATCCAACCACCACGTGACGTTTGCGTCAATAACTAATTACACCTATTGTTATTGTAAGACTTCAATATTCTTGTTTTTAGGTGTTGGGCTTTAGCCCAAAACCTATTGTTTTTGCTAGGGTCTTTAGTTATTTTTTCTTCTATACACATTCCTTCTCCTGAACTGTGTGTCAAAATGAAAACATATATGAACTTCAATTGTCAATACATGAATGCACAACCTACCGCAGATGGGTGCAGACCAGTAAATCGGTCCGAAATTGCCTGCGCCGGCCAAATCACGATTTGCATGCCCTCAAAACCTTCGGTATTTGGGCATGCTTCGGGCCATGAACTTGAGGGTTTGTAAAAAATATGGGTGGAAGCCGTGCACAGGACTGGGAGCTTGCAGTTCTGTGTAATTTTGCTGTAATTTGGACCCTAAAAGCGCCCCTATTTTGCAATGGAGTGTAGGCATCGTTTTTCAAAATGGCGATGGGCTTCAAGACTATTTTCAGGGGTGATCATCTTCAGATGGAAATTTCCCCTAAAAGTCATCAGTTGACCCCCCGAAAATTGAAAAGAAAATGAAAGATGATGAAATAAGCTTTAATTTGATGTGTGTCTCGAACACCTTGGAGAGTTGTGAGTATTTTTTCCGAATTTTTGAAGTGGGAGCATTTACCATTGGGGTCTATGGAAGTTTATTTACTGGTCTGCTACCTGTAGTTTCAAAATGGCGCCTTCCATCGTTTGTTGTCAAATGTTTGCGGAGTGTTTTTTCTCTCAGGGGGGCGGAACCTTGGGGGGGGGGGGCAGCGTTTCAAAAGGGGTCACCAATGGCGGTTCCGCAACAAATGCGCCCAAAATCTGAATACGGCCGATGGACCGTCGTCCGATCACAGCAATTTCGAGCGAACAAGGGGGGGGGGGGGTAATTTGGGGTCGGAAAGAGCAAAAACTCAATTAACGCCCGTTGGGGGCGCCCTACAGTAAGGCAGCCGCAAACAGAGGGCTTGTGTTTAGGCCAGAAATCGCAGTCAGAGATTTTTTTTCTTGCAATTTTTTGATGAAATATGAGTCATCCATCCTTCCTCGTGCCGTACAAGTGGTTTGGGGAAATTTTTCAAAACCTCGCTTCTCTATAGGGTGCAGACCAGTAAATCGGTCCGAAATTGCCTGCGCCGGCCAAATCACGATTTGCATGCCCTCAAAATCTTCGGTATTTGGGCATGCTTTGGGCCATGAACTTGAGGGTTTGTAAAAAATATGGGTGGAAGCCGTGCACAGGACTGGGAGCTTGCAGTTCTGTGTAATTTTGTTGTAATTTGGACCCTAAAAGCGCTCTATTTTGCAATGGAGTGTAGGCATCGTTTTTCAAAATGGCGATGGGCTTCAGGACTTTTTTCAGGGGTGATCATCTTCAGATGGAAATTTCCCCTAAAAGTCATCAGTTGACCCCCCGAAAATTGAAAAGAAAATGAAAGATGATGAAATAAGCTTTAATTTGATGTGCGTCTCGAACACCTTGGAGAGTTGTGAGTATTTTTTCCGAATTTTTGAAGTGGGAGCATTTACCATTGGGGTCTATGGAAGTTTATTTACTGGTCTGCTACCAGATGTGCTTTTTTGCAATTACGTAATCATGACATAATCACGGGTCACGTGACGTCACTTCAAAGTGTAATAAATTTAATCTTTGAAATTCCATATAAAATCAACCGTGAGAGACCGGAACCTGAAATTTGCGGAAATCGACATGGAAATACATGATCTTCATTTTATTTTGTTCGCGTTAAATCACGTGACCCTTCCTTCCGGTCGAAACAGGAAGTGCCTAATAATTTTAAAGTGGAAAAAGATATGAACTTGCTTTTAACGATTGAAGTGTCTGCCTGGATTGACCTTTCAAAAAAAATAATGGGTGACGCCATGAAGTGTTGGAGCGCCCTCTAGCGGCAGGTTAAAAAACGTCAAAAACGCATTTTCACTTGATGTCTGTGGCGAAGTTTGCGGTAATCGCTTCAAAGTTAATGTACATGATGACCATAATGCAGACAACACCTGTGCGCGAAAAAAAAAATGATTACGTCATCAGACCGGAAGTTACAATAAAAAGACCTTTAAACCTTCAAAAATTGCTAGAAAATATACCGTGATAGATATAATCAAGATTTGGCTGTATATAGCACAGTTAAAATAGCTCTTGAACTTTCTGGTAATGACGTCAAAATGACGTCATCAGGTATCGTATTACATGCAATCACAGGTATCTAGATTAAATCTTTGAAAATCAATATAAAATCAACTGCTACAGATTTGATTTTGTTTTTTATGGCAATCGATACAATATTGAAGGGTCTTCAGTTTTGGTGTTAAGTGCAAAATCACGTGACCCTTCCGGTCGAAACAGGAAGTGCCTTATTATTTGAAATTGGCAGAAGATGCGAACTTGCTTTCAACGATGTGAGTGACTGCCTAGGCAGTACTGTACAAACATATTACAGGTGACGTCATCAAATGTTAAAGCGCCCTCTAGCGGCAGTTTAAAAAACGTCGAAAACGCATTATCACTTGATGTATGTGGCGAAATTTGCGGTAATCGCTTTAAACCTAACATACATGATGAACTTAATGCAGAAAAGACCTGTGCGTGAAAAAAATGGATGACGTGATCAGACCGGAAGTTATAAAGAAAATAGTTTGAAACCTTAAACAATTGCTAAAAAATCAACCGTGAGAGATATCAGTTATTTCATGTAGCTTTTCTTTCCATTCGAATAACACGCCAAAACCGTGCACAAACATCGCCATTCCTATATCATAATGGGAAGTACAGACAAAAGATCAACCACTTTTAAGGAAAGGCACAATAAAAGAAAAGTGTAACTCCCCCTCGAAAAAATGGGGGAAATATCTAGAAAGACGACGATGACCAGTTCTGTTACAAAAATTCCATGAACGGAAAATTCAAGCCTACCTGGACTGGCGGTTAATGGGTCCGATGTGGATACTGTCTGGGCAAGCGAGACATTAAGCGAAGCCAAATTCACCACAATTATTCCTGCGAGACGAATGTCCGCCATGATGCTCTGAATACAAGGAATCGCACTAAATCGATTTTCTAAATGTAGTTAAGCCTGGATATTTTCTTTCCTGTTGTGCAACAACCCACATTCATTAGGAAACTAGCCGGCCCCCCAATCAACACATTTTACGACATAAAGGGTAAAATGTATTATACTTTATATATATCTGAATGCTATTGCGTGAGTTCAATGTTGTTGCGGGGAACAGTGCACGAGAATATTAACGTATTGAAGGCAAGCCGCATGCAAATTGGGATCCTGTGCATCCCGGGGCAGCCAAAACAAGCAAAGCATTGCTTGCGTGCCGTGTGCAAACTTGCGGGCATAATGCCATTGCGGACGTTACATAACCAATTCTTTTTTATGTGCCGCGCAAGGATTCTGCGGCAGCCAATTGGCGTAATTGGTTTTTAGCGGGAGCGCGTATGTTGCCGATAAGGGATCTCCATTTTATGTCACGGCTTCAAGCAATCCACATCAACGTTCGATTGAAACAATTTCTTTTTATGTTGCGCTGCTTGGCAAATGAATCGTACAGATTTGTTTATTTTGAACCCTACATCTCAATCCATTATCACCTTACGTTTGTATCAATAACGAAGTCTGTTTGCATATTGTTGGCTACGTGAAACGGCGTCCATTATAAGGCTGCGCCACATCACTGGTTGTGACTGAACCGCGGAAGGGCGTACTGTGCGTCCGGGAATGATTACCTGATGACCGATTTTCTCAGACGGTTCCACAATACTGCATCACGGTACGGATGTCTTCGCACGATTCAATAGCGGGTGCTGCATTCTACGGAGATTGTGACAGGTATTTCCCATTTTGTTTTGGTGTATGCATGAAACACGCATATCCATGTAGGTCTAACAAATAACGATTCCGACTCGGGGGTGAGGTTGAATGCTGCTGCAATATTAAATGAAATTTCAATAAGACATAAGGTACTATATTAATTTGATACATATATCGGTGTTCTCAATTACTTAGCTTACTGATGTTTACAATGACTGAAGGAGATTTAATATAGGATTTCTTAAACAACTACAGGTTATACTAGTCCCAGAGGACAGCCTCCTATTCTCTCATGTATAACTCTTATTTACTAACTCACTCTCACTTGTGAGCTAAGTAGTGCTATTGTATAGGATTACCCCGTTATGCCAATTGCGACCAGCCTTTTTTTCTCCAACAAACATGTTAGTTTGATTTGATGAAGCCGTATTTTTGAATACGATGATAATTGATTTAGGCATTTATTGCTATTTTAAGTGATTGTATGTCGACATTTTACACAAAACTAATCAATTCCGACGAAAAAATATTAGATTTTTTTTGACAATATTCAAACGCGGTCAATAAAAAAATCAATCAAAAAATCTAGCGAAAACTTGTTCACAAATCTGACTACTTTATAATCCCCTCTACCGTTATTTACAAGTATGAATTTAAACCTTTGAAGCTATATTCTTGTCAAAAATTGGTCCTTAATATAAACAAACGACATCTGAGAAAAAAAACCCGGTTGTTTCATGAAATCACTGTTTCTACACTCTCAGAAAACGTCTTTAAACATTACTTTGAGAAATAAACTGTGATTAAACTAAATAGTAATAAAATAACAACGGCTCCCTAATTAAGTGGTGTGTTTAACAATACAATGCAAAGATATCTTTTTGAGTCACATCATCGGTGTCTAATCGGCAGCCCTTAATACGTGTGCAAATAACCCTAGGAGTAGCCCATGCGCAGTGTAAAGTTGGATAAAACGTATGTGGGCGCTCACACTCTTGCTCTTGATCCAGCAAACCACACCTTCAATTTTTATTCTGCTTTGTGGCGTTATCATTAGCAAAATACGCCTCATACTTGTGGTATGAGGAGTATTTTGCTAATGATAACGGCACAGAGCCTTGCTGGTGTTTTATCCCGACTATTATTTAGTTGACGCTATAAATTCGTTGAAATCATGTTTGAATAATATTGTGTCGAATCCTCAATAATGAACAAGAAGGCAAGAGCTTTGGGATCCACATTGAAAGCTTGCATATGTTTTTTTTTCCAAATTTATACCCTGATATGCATGCCTAATCTGCAACCTACAACAAAATTGATCAACTAACCGCCACACAAGCTAACCAGTTTGAAGACAAACCATAGCAATAGTATTGAGATCCAACCGTTACAAGCCTAGGCCTATATCGATTGTTGTATACATGTATATAAAATGATTGATTATCTCAGTCCTGTACTTACCTGTTCTCGTAAATCTACTTGCACCAATTGGATGTTCGTCTTCTAAGTAATGTAAGGAAGCACATGTTTCAAAAACGAACAATGCAACCATTAAAATTGGAAAATTAAGATCCATTTTAAAGAATTTCAATTTGAATTTCCCACATAATTTGCAGTGCAGCCGAGTGCATAGTCTGGTTCCCAGCCAAAAGATTCTGACTAATCCCGATGAATCAGGAATAGTCGGAATATTTTGGTCTGGGAACCAGACTACTGAGTACCGCTGACATGTATTTCAAAATTACTATGTTACATGTATTAACATCAACCGTCAAGCATGGAAATGAAACAAAGGTCATGCAGATGACACTGATCGTTATATATTTCCTACTATTAACTTTGATTTGTATTCCCCCACCATCATCAGGGAACAGAGGTATTCCAAATTGCTCTGGATAATGATTACATTTTTTCATGCAAAAAAGTTCACTATATCATGTAAGGTCTGTAATCGACCATTAATCGACATAAAAAGAAACACACCACATTATGTTAAACCATCAAATCGTGCAAAATACGATTTTATTAAAATAATATTGTTCAATAATTATTACCGTTTAAAACTGCACCAAAAAAAAAAAAAAACGGTTGCTTTTAAGGCTGCAACTCGCAGGCCTTCAACCCATTGAACCCTGCATCTCAATCCAAACATCACGTGACGTTTGTATTCTATTAATAACTAAGTCGAGTCTGTTTGCACTGTTGGACTACAGAAAATGGCGCCCTGCGCCACATCACTAGTTGTGACTGAAATTTGCGGTCACGGAAGTACGTACTTGTACGTCAAGGAATGATTACCTGATGACCGATTTTCTCAGACAGTTCCACAATACTGTATCAGTACGGATGTCTACGCAAGATTCAACAGCGGGTGCAGCATTCTACGGAGATTGTGACAAGTATTTCTCATTTTCTTTTCATGTACGGATGAAACACGCGTATGCCTGTAGGTCTAACAAATAACGATTACCGACCAGGTTGGATGCTGCTAGTTTGCATGTCACCAATACGTCAACAGCCAGTCTGCACGTGAACGTAGTGAATAAAACTGCACAGGTTGGATGGGCATAGCTACTACTTGTTTGCACCTGCAATACTCATGATTTTAGACACATCAGTACCTGACGTTTTCACAATACAGTGCAATGTAAATCGTTCAATATTGTATATATTAAAATCCATTGATACGTATTTAATACACACACACAATTGATTGAGTCGATAAATGAAAGTGACAATTAAAAATTGCACTGAATTAATAATGCTACTGAATATCATCACAAATATTTTCAGATGCGTCAATAAATCCATGTCTTGAAACAAAAGATTACAAATTAGCACTGTACAAATTATTCAATATTCAAAATATTAATTCTCATTACAAAGTTGCCTGTTTTATAACGCAAACATCTTACTGGCTGATATGTGCAAAAAAAAAATATTTATGTATAAGTGCAAAGTATATATTTCCGCGTTTACATGTATTATACATTTTTATACAAACGCGGAAGTGAAACGTGTAAGTGAAAGGCTCTTCCTGCTTTGACCCACGCCTCCATCAAAGGGGCAAAAGTGGATATGATATTTCACGTGCTACAAATAATTGTAGATACATCAATGACTACCTAACTGTTGCAATAGAGTGAAACAGACTGCAGTGAAAACTATACAATATTCTACATATTAATTTGGTCCCATTGCTAAAAGCCAAAGTCGAAAAGAAACTTACTCGGCTTAGATGAACCAGAAATAGTGTGTGGCACGTTTCCGCGACACTGTGGAATTACCCGGTGGTGGAGCTTTTTTCATAAACTTCATTTGAATTTACAGTATCATCATCCTTATACGTATTTTACTATGTTGTATGTGTAAACGTCATTCAAAATGTAATTACAAATTCTACAAATCCGTCAACATAGTGCGATGAAAAAGAAAAGTGTCTTTGGCTATTCATTTGCAAACAAATCTATAAATAGTTAAAAAGGTGCAAATATTAACTTGTATTTCCTAAAAAAACATTACAAAAAAAAATGGAATGCAAAAAAAGCATTCAAGGGAGACTGTGAAAGGGAGGTATTTCTCATTATTTTTTACAATTACAATTGTGGCCTGTAGGTCTATTAAATAACGATTGACAATGACTGTAAAGGTTGAATACTGCTAGTCTGCATGTGACACTAATAAAATAGTCACCAAATACCTGTCTGCGAAATGGATAAATAATTGAATGAATAAAACTGCACACAGGTTGTGGAAGGCGATTTCGATAGGTCAAGGCAAACAGTCCGCCTGAGACACCATGCTGTTCCGAGCATTTTCAACTTTCAAAAGGGGGTTACATATGCACATGTACTTGGTGGGTATGCACAAAAACTGGATCTCTTGACTCTTTTATACTACACGACCTGTATGACCTACATGTTAAACGAGGGGACATTTCAAACGTAAAATAAGCTGAGTCGATCTGTTGTCACGTTGCTGACAAATGTACAGTTTGATATGCCATTGTCTTGATGTTCAGTTTCTCACTGGGTGAGTGTGTCGATGTGGAGATGTGGGTTCAATTCCCACCCTGTTTCTCAGACAAAGCAGGTAGTTCAAGGAAGAGCACCACAAAGCCACATTTCATAACAGCTAGATGAATGAGGAAAATTATCCTCCAAATCCATAAATATACAACAATGTACGTTAATAGTTGATTTTAAGGAGATAAATATATGTTGATAGGTAAGCTTAATTGAAGTTCTTAATAATAATTATGTTAACTCTTTTGTTAAAAAAAATGTTTATTTACAATTACAGGTGTTCATTGACAATTGCTGAACATCAAAAATAATTATGGAAACAAAATAAAGCCATTTGAAAACCAACCCTTAGACTTGTGAAATTGCAGATTAGAGTTTACCTTTCTTCCTTTATTTAACAGGCAAGTTGGTAAGTTTATTCTTTCACCTAGTTTTATTTCTTAGATGAAGAATAAAGACATTTTTTTTTGATGAGGTCCTTTTTTCGCGTAGTTCTTCCCACATCATTTTTACACGAGCTATCTGCACTGTGAAAAGTAAATTGTTTCACAGCCATGTGCGCCAAAAAAAAATACTTGTTACTTGGCACCCCACCCCCCCCCCCCAAAAAAAGGATGTGTAACATTACTAATACTATCCGGGATGACCTTTTAATTAAAATTAGTACTCGAACAGCTCACTAAATTTCATCTGAAAATGAAGTGCTCATTACATCAGCATTCACTCGTCATAAAGGATTATTCTAGCTCATTCGCTGAGTGTTCACTGAAAAAAACGTCCAATCGAATTCCAGCGGTCGACGAGCAGTATTTAAAAAAAAAAATCTTTGCTTTCGAAAATGTTGGAGAATAATTGTATTCGCTCAAATTGACTTAATTAACAAAAGTGCATTTTCAAGGAAAGCATTACACAATTTACATTGTGTGTGTTCTTTGATCAAAGAAGGTTGTTTTGTAATCAAAGGAAGCCCTTCCTGCCAACCGTCAACTGTCGGATTTTATATTGTCTCGATATTTTTTTTTAATGTCGTTTCCATTATTTGTATATACTATAGTGACACACAACAAGGAATATGGGAAATCCCAAATTCGTGAGTGCACGTTTTAAGATACTTCGGGTACATAGGCCGACACTGAATACATCGGTAAAGGGCCTAGGCCTATGTCAATTCCATTATAAGCTGTGAATTAAGTTTAACAAAACAAGGACATGTTTTTCCCACCTGAGACCATGGCAGCAGTAACAACAATATTGATAAACTGACATGACTGAAGAGTACTCACTTTCGTACGTTTCCTTGTCAAATGACCATCAGCGATAGAACGAGTCATTCCAAAGTACTGAGCAGAAATTACTGATAAAACCAAACCACAGGACCAAACTAGTAAAATAATTCATTTTCATTCAACCATGCATGTAGCTATGTACATGTACACGTATATATCGCTATCACCTAAGCTCGTGTATGTTTACAAGCCTACATCCGTACATCCGTTAGATTCGTACTTACCGAACAGCACCGTCTAGGCATTTAATTGGACGATTGCTGCAGATGATTTCCGGGTTCAATAGTTCAAACTAAGACAATACAAGAGAAGGCGCTATAGACTTATCTGGCAAACGTTTCAGAAAGAATGCAGTAGTCAGACGCTACTTCTTTGGTTGTGTACAAAGTCTATGGATCGTCGAGTGTTATATTTAAAGTATTTCTGGCCAAATTCGAAATGTTTCCCAGTCTCAGATTCATGTCTTTTCAACATGGAGTAGTATTATGATGAAAACAAGTGGCGTCAGGATAATGCAACATTCATTATCTATGCAAAAGATGGGAACTGTCGGTTTGAAACAATCAATTTATTATTAAAGGCCTCTTGAACAGGATTTTTTTTTTATTCACAGGTGTACGGGTCTAGGGGTTAACTTATGTATGTAGTTGTGAATGAATTACCAGTGTATAGTTTTAGGAGGGGGAAGTGCATGACTGGCTCCAGAAATGACTCAAAGTGAACTCAATTGGATTGAACATTGTTTGTTCTTATGGTGCTGCTTATTCCAAATAGTTTTTGTGTTTTAAAATCAATCCAAATTGGGCTACTTACACTGTAAATGTTATAGTTAAAATCTACGGTATATTACATTACATTCATGGGTGCCAAACAATTGCAAAATGTATAATTAATCAGCATTTTTTCCCACTAAAAAGATCAATTAACAGCTTTTGTCCTGAATAATAAAACAGTCCAACGCTGCATGCAGCAGTGTACAATTCTTGTTATTGAATACTTAATCAAACTTAGCAACGCAATCAAAGATGGATATATACAAAAATATGGAAAACATTGATCTCTAGATAGAATAGGCGATTATTGGTTTCTAATACCGGATGAAGCGTATAACGCTTGCTATACGATATAGTAAAATAATTCAATTTCACAGTTCAACCGATACATTTAGAAACAGGCCTTCTACAACAACGTGATCACAGAACACTGTTTTGCATTATTGTAATTGACGGAGAGTATACCGTCAAGAAATTAATTAGTCTCATGAATTGAACACATCTTTTCTAGTGAAACAGCGCTCATTAGCCTGAACATGAATTATAAAAGATATGTGACATAAATCAGAGAGCCTTGATTCATGATAAAAATCACTACAAGGTAGAACCAGGTTAAGTGACATTAAACAGCTGTTGAAACTCCAGCATAACTGGTTGTCTAACTATAGGGCTTGGCAAGGACCTCGTACTTTTTAGAATGCATGATTCACATTGCGAAGGAGGACGGTTCAACAATGATATTAACAAGATGCAAGGTCAAACGTTCACAATGCGAAGGTACATGGTTCATATTGCGAAGAAGCAAGATGCAACGTTGACATCAAGCATGATCAATGGTGTACATTGACAAGATCAAACGTGAACATTAACAAGTTGGAACATTCACATTAAGAAGGAACAACTTCCACAATGCGATATTAAGCTACGTGCAACGTGCATATTGCGAAGGTACAACGTCAATATTAAGAAGTTACAAGGCTCATATTAAAAAGGTCAATATTAAACTGTCGTTCCAGGGCCACCGTACGAAAGACAGCAACTGCCTCCACGAAGAAAACGTTCAACATGGAAGCAAAAACAAGAGCATGCATTGTTTGTAATGTAAAATTAATCTTCGTAATACTTTGGAACCTACTTCTTCGTGAAGGAATATTTGGAGGTAATTTAAAGAGGTTGTGGAATGCTCGAAGACATTTCCGTCATTTTTCGGGTATATGTAGCCTAAGGTGTGATGAAATAAAAACGACTATTGTTTCTGTCATGAAATGAGTACAAAAGGTACTTTTGAGAGCTGTTTTTCAGGTCCAGTTTCGACCCCAACGTGCAACTGTGTAACAGGACTCGTGTATGCTACTGTGCATCGGGAGTCCTGTTTATTACGTCACGATTTACTGTGTTTTGTTTGCTGCCCGCAACGACGACTTTTACACAGTTGCACGTTGGGGTCGAAACTGGACCTGAAAAACAGCTCTCAAAAGTACCTTTTGTACTCATTTCATGACAGAAACAATAGTCGTTTTTATTTCATCACACCTTAGGCTACATATACCCGAAAAATGACGAAAATGTCTTCGAGCATTCCACAACTTCTTTAACACAAGCAGACTAATCCAGTAGGCCCCGCCCAATGGGAGGGCGCTGTTTGATTTGTGTAAAGTCCTTTGTATTTACCCAAACAAAATAGCGCCCTCCTATTGTGTCCACCATACCTCAAATAGGCTTATGCCTTGCCACATGATTCAGACGCGCTTGTCACGTGCAAGTGCACGCATGTCGCACTATAATCACGGCTGTGATTGGTCAAAACATCAGGGGGCGGGCGTAGTGGATCTATCCATTCAAACAGTGTTGAAGAGGTCAGGCGAGGACACGAGATGAAGTAAGATGCTCAAGAGTTTTCTCCCACGTAGTGATCGGCCACAAAGTTCGCCATATCCAGGTAAATCTGTCGACCAAAATGAAGTAAAAACCGTCATTTGACTGTGGCACTTTTAACCCTAATCAGGCCGGGTTATTTTGACCATCTTTCAGCCGGGGGGGGGGCGGATTCCGCCCCCCGCCTCCCGTAAGATCTCGGTCATCGAGTGACGAAAAATTTGAAACTTGGTACATGCATAGAGCAACTATAATAAGAAATACCCAAGAAATTTCCGACTATAGGTTAAAGGGTTTTGGAATTATGGCTCATTAATTATTCATATGTACGAATGGTAATTCTGCTCTTTGTACACGACGTATATGGCAAAATTGAGTTTTCACGGCGCGTAGTGCCGGGAAATGTTGCATCTTCTTGTCAGGATTTTATGGCAAAGAAAGCAGAAACAAATAGAACAATACGCTACGGTTTTGTGCATAATTAATTAATATGCTGGCGTGCCCCGCGCCATACGAGTGCGCGACCATACGAGGTCTCTCTCAAATGACGTTAATTCCTAGTGACCAACCACGTGCATCGGCATTTTGAGCGTCAACTTGCATAAAGCGCATCGGCAGCGTCGTATTGCGAACACATTTCCAGCAATAAGCGCGCGTGTTTGGAACATTTTCAACATTAACACTGCGCAATGCGTGCTTGATACGCAGTAAAATAATGCGTGAATTAGGGCTGCAGTTTATCCGTTTAACGTGCCGACGCCATATTTAAAATGTGAAAAGTTGTGATTTTAAGAATCAATCCTTTCAAACATAACGTTTGGACGTTGCGTTATTTAGCAAAGATTTGTATTAGATGTACGTACCCCTTTCGTGCCTTTACAACCACAGATACAGGATTTTTTAAGCGAAAAACGCGGCTGCCATAATCCATTTCGTACAAGCATTGCGACTTTTGAATCACAATTTTTTTTTTCGTACGTGACGTTACGTGCAAAGCACGCGAGCGTATTATCGGCGCGCCCGGCCTGAAACCTGTGAATAGCCAATCACCGTCATTTACGTCATCATCACAGCCAGGGGTTAGTGTAAGGAACGTGCACGCGCCCCTTGAGTCGAGGCTGAGTCTTTTTATTCTATATCTATAGAGAGAGACCGAAAATGCGCTCCGTGCCTGAATAAGAGAGGGCTTTTGAAAGTACCACTTTTGAAAGTACGCATGTGCGCACGTAGTGGTTCGCGTGCGTGTATCGCGAAATACGCACGACTAAGTGTATTCTCAATGTGCACAAAGCAGCCATGTCTTTGCGTAAGCGTTGAGTGTTGTCCATTGCTCTCCATACACAGTCTGTGTATATGGAGATCAATGGTGTCGTCAGCAATGTTCGAATGTCTCTCCAAGTGGTCTCATGCAATTTTTTTTTTTTTTTTTTTAATCAATGAGGGGGTATTTGTGCGCGGAGCCTACAGGCTTCCTTTTTTTTTTGGGGGGGGGGGGGACACTCAATTATGCTTACCGGAGCATCAGGGATCATTCCTTCAAGGGTCTCTCTCAATTCGCGAAATGTCGGGCGTTCGCTAGGCGTCTCCTGCCAGGTCTCATTCATTACCTCGTAACTGTTTCAACATAAGACACACATTTCAAGTCAGTTGATTCAGAATGGCCAAAAGTTCTGAGTTCAATATTAGTCTTTGCCCTTCACCGACGTGTACAAATACTGTATACTCAGTGTGTAACCTCCCAAGTGAAAGTTCCCAATATCGCAAGCGATTTAGGTACTTCAAAGTTTTAAGAAAATTTCTTAGAATAAACTGTAGTGGTAACGTGATAGTGAAAGAAAAATCTACTCTGGCTGTTCGCATGGAGGCTTGATGGAATAAGGGGCGTAAGATTAATAATGCACATGTGTTGCAGGATGCTACATCATTATAGGCAAGACTTATCAAGCTGGTCCAGGGCAGTGTAAGTCACAAGCGGCACAGTACAGTCAGTAAAATGAGATGGGCAGCCATACAAAGTTACAAGTGACGGTGAGTCCGTCAGTTAGTTAGCGAGATGGGAGCAAATTGGATGTCAAGCTGATCTAATGGGACCAGCAAAAATGAAGTGATATGGATGACCTCTCTTCAATACAATTAATATCATTAGTCATCAGTGTTGTGTAGTCGAGATCTGAAAGGTCGTGACCGAGAGCGAGACCTGAGAACCGAGATCGAGACCTCAGGGTCCAAAGTCGAGACCGAGACAAAGACCTTATGGGCGAGACCGAGACCTTAGAGTAATTAGCATATAGTTATGAGAAATATATTTTTATTACAAAGAAACATGGCATGATTTTGTTTTCTGAATGCTGAGTAAATTCATATGTTTTCACAGTGTTTAATACCCCTTCTACATTGCTAATGTCAACAATTTGTCCGACTGTCTGAAAAGAAAACTAGCAGACACATAATTTGATTTTTTGCTGGTCAGTTTTTATTGTTTCTTAGGAGAAGTAAAACAAAAAAAATCGGAAATCGGAAAAAATTTCATCTCTGGTACAACCACAGCAAAATGGAAAGGATGTCACGTCTTGCCGCCGGTGTGGATGAATATTCCATGTAGGCCTATATGTTCAGAGGCCCCTTTATACTGGGCTGCGACCTTTGTACCACCTATGAGCGACCAAAACTGGCCAGGACGCTCAATGGTCGCCTACACCCAGAAAATCCTTTTTCTATGCATGGAACTGCTCCAGCAATCCTTGTTTCTCACTTGAACCACCAAAACTGCAATTTTCGGGCATTTTCATGTTGAGCTACTAGCGACCTATGCGTCCACTGAGCCACTTGCCTGCCTCCCCTGTGCTTCACCTGTGCAACCTACGACAACCAACGCGATTCAAGGCAACATAGGCAACCCCCGAGCAATGTTTGGGCTACCATTGAGCCTCCTCTGTGCCTCTTCTGTGCCATCCTCGGCGACCAACGGTAACTAACGGCGATCACTGGTCGACCATTCAGCCATGCTTCTGCCTCCTAGGCGACCCTTGAGGCACAAGGAAGGCAGAAGCATCGCCGAGATAGACAGCACAATTTGCAACAGAACGGATCTATTACGTGGCGACCATTGGCCGGCCATTGGGCATCCACTCTGTAACCACGGCGATGCTTGTGCCTCCCTTCTGCCTCATTTGAGCCACATTTGAGCAACTAAGGTCCTCGGCGACCTTTGTGGGACTGTTTTGAACATGTTCAAAATTTACGACGACCATGGCGTCCATGGCGATGTCTGAACATCCTGTGTACCATCTTTGAATGACCTAGGCAACCTTTCGGCCTCCTTTGAGCCTCCAACGGCGACCAGGCCAGATTCATGGTCGCACAAGGGAGGCCCAACGGTCGCCGCCCAGTGTAAAGGAAGAGGGGGTCTAAGTGTATACATGGAATGGAATGGATGCGTAAGCAAATCCTCTTTAAGGTATAGCTTAAATAACAGTCACTTGATAGAAACTCATATGTTTGTTTAAGTAGTATTTCAGAGACACAGCTTCAGTAGTCGTATACGACTACTGAAGCTGTGTCTCCCAGTGAATGTTCTCTTGGTGTTTTCACAAATATTTGATCTGCATGCTGTTGTTAATCTGAATGTTATTTGTTTCCACTTGGGCAATGATCTTTGCCACATCCCAATATCGTAACCAATTTTAGGTACTTACAGTTGTTCGCTGCAGTGGGTGGGATTTGGTAACCGAAAGCCCCGTTCTATGGAATCAATTACGTCACGTGCATGCATGCCACGATAGGGGTGGGCACCTGTGGGAAAAAAAATAGATATGTGTGTCACAGATCTATGTGGCGTTTGTTAGAGATAGCTGGAATGATAGCATTTTATATTTGCCCTGTACACAAGTATGTTGTCATCCTTGCGCATGAAATAAGAATAAAGTCTTCAATTTACAAACAAAATGAGTAAATCATTTCCAAACAAAATGAGTAAATCACCTGTCAAGTCACAAGTCCGGTTACAAGTGACAGAAGATGAACAGTAACGGGAGAATGTCTTTGTCAAGGTTCATTTGAATAGTGTGTGACTTGGGACTGGGTGAATTGTATAGTGATGGACTTGTGAGGCCTTGTGAAGGACTCGGCAACAACACAGATGCAAATTACAAACACAAGTCATTTTCCTTCCTGCGCTATAATTCTGCACTACACTGGCTGGAAGGTAGAGGGCACGCTATCGATTATGAACTACAAAGCATCCGTTATTAAAAGGCAGAAATAAATGACGCACCCAGTGTGACAATCTCCCACAGCAGAACGCCGAATGACCAGACATCACTCATGGTGGTATAGACATCGTCAAGCAGGCTCTCGATAGCCAACCAGCGAACTGGAATCATCCCCTGCGAAAGGCAATCGTGAAATATCAGATATTGACAATAAATTTGAAGAACAAACGGAGGACGTTCATTAATTCGTTGGTACCAATGAACCGCCATTCTGTTCTCTTTGTACCTGTCCTACCGACTGACTGACTGTTACTTGTGACTTAGACCGGTTGTATGGTCAGGAGAGCCGGGCATTGGTATCGTATAGGATTACCCCGTTTCATCAATGTATGGGCTTAATCGGACCGTTGTGTGAACCAAATGCACGGAAAAGACTTCCGTTGAATAGCCATTCCGAATCGATTGTGCGCTGTGACGTTGACAGGTCTAGACCTATAGGGCCAACTTTACTCGGCTAGCCAATGGAGAAGGTTTCAAACCTTCGACCTTCGAAGCGCTATACGGGTTCATTGTCTCGTTGTGAAAAAGCGCCCTCACACAGGGTACTGCATCATCGTAGAGGACGCCATTTTTAATTATCAAAGGATCCAGACGTTGATCTCCATTGTACAGATTAACGGAGATCAATGGTTACAGACCAGTAAATAGACTGTCATAATTTATTTAATCCTCGGTGATAACTACGCGCGATTCCCCAAATTATAAAAAAAAAATCACAAGCTTAATTCATGTTTCATTTTTCGTTCAATTTTTTGGGGGGTTAACCAATGACCTTTGTGAGAAACCTCCATCCAAAGATTATCACCCCTAAAAACAGTCCTGAAGCCATCTCCATATTGTAAATGAACGTCTACGCTCCATTGCAAAATAGAGCCATTCCGCCCGATTTCATCCAAAATTCACGGAAATACGACCCGGAGTCCGAGTCGAAATTGACATAGGACATTTTACAGTGTACAACTCTGTTGTTCAAAATCCAAGTACCGTAGTCAAACATATGAATGAAAGCTCGAGAAAAAAAGGAAGGCCGGCTAGAAGTTAACTTACCATTGAAGTCATTTCGTAGTGTTGTGTCTCAGAAACATCACGCGCTAGGCCAAAGTCGGACAGCTTGCATACCATGTCTTTATCAAGGAGGACATTACGAACGGCTAAATCACGGTGAATGCATTGCAGAAAAAAAAAATGTATATGCTTTTTCGAAGTTGAAGAAATGTTTGAATTATCTTTAATATAGCCTAACATAACCACCCGTGAAATTGATACACCACAATGGCGAGAAAAATAGGGATTTCTATTTAATAGTTATGTGACTTGGAAGTCTGATTTCGCCAAATGACCTCAGTCTGACCTCAGTGTACATTGCTTGCTGTATCAGACATGACGATTCGTCTTAGCCTGTACTCAATGACTGAGATCATAAGTGCAAAGCCGCGGAACACGCAAAATTAATAGTTAAGTAATCATAAACTCATACCTAACACTAACACCCACACGCATCTGTGTAAACACCGGCAATCGTGGACTCCCTATTGTCCGTTATCCTCATTCCTTTATTTGTACTCTAACTTTTTAGCAACAGCTCTCATTGGTTTTGTACACGAATTTCAATCGTGGACTATCGGTCAATCGTAGGTCGTATTGCTTGTGCCCTCACCCTTTTGTCCTAGGTCCACGATTGCCGGTGTTTACATACCCACTAACACTTACTCTAACCCAAACCCTAGAGGTCATCAGTACAGACAGGTCTCTAATTTCTTTTTAGGTGATGAAGCTATAGTTGCTTGACCAGATTACATCAAATGTATAATGGTGGTGACAACATGGTTGTCTGCGATCAGCATTAGTTAATGAACCACGTGACTGCGACATTGATCTTGACCGCAGTCTGAATGTTTTTACTCTCAGTTTATTATTTTCTTTATCTTGTATTCCCACACGTACCCCAACTGATGACAGGTATTCCATGCCACTCGCGATCTGAGAGGCAAAAGCAAGCAGCTCGGATGGAGGGACAGGTTTAGCGCCTTCTACGGCTTCCTCCGTCCACGCCTTTTTCTTGTTTCTCAGGTAACCCTGTAGACTGCCCCCTGGTAGTAACTCCAGAATGATGACGAAGGGTTCTGAGAAACAGATCATTAGAAGAAAAAAAAAGAGTCAAAAGGGACATGTCGGAGTTGAGATTCTAAAATAATCGTCATTATTGAAAGCCTATTCTCATCAGCCCATCTGAATTTAATTCCAACCTCTCATTTTTATTGGTGCGTGTTTTGTTCTACCTCTTGCGTATTCATTATTACTGATATAAGAACACAAAATACACCTCTATTTAAAAAAAAAATGGCTGCTGAATGTATTTTGTCTTTATAGCTGAAGTCCCTGACTACTTCGCTTAATCTTGATACGACCCATTATCTGAAAACTAAATTCACAAACGTGGAACCCACCCGAGTCAGTGCAGCATCCAAACATGGAGACTACATTCGGATGTCTCTTCAAAGTTTTGTGGATCGCGATTTCCTTCTTGAAGTCACAGGCGGCTGCTTCATCAGCAGACTCTGAAACCAAAAAACCCCAAAAAACCCCAACACTTATAACCAAAAAACTGAGAATAAATCAGGTCATAATGGTCGCCAATAGCCGTTAGGTGTATCTCCGTGTGCAATCTTATAATACTAGACTAAGCAACCTTAGTATAACTGGCCTGCAAGCGCACATAGTAATACTCAAATAATAATAATGGCCATTAATTGGAAGCCTTTTCATCAACATGGTCTAACCAATGGGCCAGATCTACCCATTCATGGGCGTTACAAGGTAATTATCCAAGTCGACAAGGGAGTCTGGTTGGCACAATGGTTACTGTCCTCGCCTTCCACTGCTGTCGGCTGGGTTCGATTCCTGTCCTGTATGCATGTAGATTGGGTTTTTAGTCTCTACCTGATTCCATTCGTTTTCTCCAGAATGTTCTTCGGGGTATTCCTCCTACCTCTAATTTCTTCTCATTGTGTTCTCTCTACAGGTTTTCTCGGGCTTTCGAGCTGCAGTGCCTAGGGCACATTTAAGAAATAATTGGTCTCATTAACAGAAAGAAATAAAAATAAATACTGCCCAGCACAGAGGTGAGAGTCAGTCAGAGTAAGTCAGTTAGTCGGTCAGTGAGATAGGTACAAAGATGACACCAGGTTGGCCATGTGGGACCAGCAAATGTCTGCATGGTGCAGGTGTAGTGTAGCGGGTAAGTCATCATCCACAATCTGTAGTGTCTTCATTTATAATCAGTTTCTTGCCTTTGAGTACTTTCACAGCCACCTCTGTCTCGACTCCTTCCTGCAGTATCCCGTCTGCAGTTGCCCTGAAGACCTGACCGAAGTTCCCACTTCCAATGACATCGAACAGCGTAATCTTGCTCCGGGGAAAGTTACATTTCTTCATAGTGCCTTCCTCCATTACCTTTGAGAGAATACAGCATTCAGTTTTGCTTGTTTCAGTCAGCTAAGATTGTTTCTATATCTTACGAAATTTGGGACTGATAATATTTCTTTTCATCGCAGATTTCTTTTCACCGCAGATAACATCCGAAAGGTTCTTATGCAAGTGAAACAGGGTTTCTGACCGGCTGTCTCAACTTCAAAACCTTTAATCATCACAAAAAAGTAAAGTATTCTGAAGCTTTCTGCCGGAATAATTCTGAATAGCAGCCTTACCTCTGTAACCTCTTTGGCTCTTTGACGCTTGGCATTGGACCGCAGTGTGCAAACAGTTACAATGACGACGACTACTAACACAGTCCCCACAGCCGGTATGATGATGGCGAGCAGCTGCAGTATAGCTGTGAGAAATAGGACAAGACATACACGACCATCAACATTAGAAGCCTTTGCAAAGGATGCACCACGCTCTCCCCCACAAGGGCGGATCCGGGGGGGGGGCCCAAAGGGGGCCATGCCCCCCCCCCCCCCAAAAAAAAACGAAACCAATTTTTTTTTTTTTTTTATGCGACATCGCAATAAAGGCAGGCAATGAGTACACCACCACCTTTTCCTAAAAAAAACAGTGGTTAAAGTGGTCAGAAATTGCCTCAGATCGCACCACAGAGCATCTAGAATCCAAATTTAAGCGGGCCCCGAACCCCACGCCGTAATTTTTCTGACCCACTTTTTGGGGGACCAAATTTTTTTGGCCCCCCAAAAAAATTGTGTTCTGGATCCGCCCTTGCTCCCCCATCATCGTTCATTGTATGAGCGTAACGAGTTTTCGCAAATCAGACCTGTGTGTGCCTAGCTCGACTAAGCAAACTTGATCTTTTTTACCAACCTAGTTTGTCGTTGACAATCAATTCCATGACTATCTCTCTTAACACTGTGCCTCCGTCGGGACACATCACCCTGCATGTGATGTTTCCCAGTCGATGCTCTGGGCGTAGTTGGAGGTGGATTTCACTCGAGGCTTCCCAGTCCCCGTTGACCTCTTCTTGGCGTAACTGGGTCCCATCTGGCAGAATCTCTGTCTTTGTTTTGATCAGCCAGGTGATGTTACTGGCTGGATTCGAACCTGACGCGTTGCAGATGAATCGATAGCGACTTCCGATTGTGACATCAGCGCTGCACACAGTCTCGCTCTCGCATAAATGAGTGGTGTTGACTTGCAGGGTCATGGCGCTTGGCGGATCTAGAATGAAACCACAATATTGTTATGTCCTTCTATTTTAACCCCCCCCCCTCCTCAAAAAAGTGGAGATATATGATTTGTTTTTGTAAATTGTTTGAATGAGATATCGAACGTGAAAATCGGCACCCGTTTAATTATGGAATAACTTTACAAATGTTTAATTATTTCCGGCCCGACAATAATTTAGTTTTCACAGGGTAGGCTGGTTCCCGCCTTCAATCAGAAGGTATAGTAAAGACTGGGAATCAGTCTACCCGCTAAGCGGATCGTCCACGCACAAACCCCTTTTCAGAGGATTGCAGAAACCCATAATATATTTTCTTACCGCTAAAATAGAAGATACAGATGACAATTTGTTGGGATAAATTACTCATATTTCGTCGCTTTGCTCACGAAGTGACAAAAACCTCAAAATTTGACAAAAGTTCATTCTGAGATAATCGCATTTGAAGTTATTCATCTTTTCAAAAGACATTTTCGACCACTTTGCAGTAACAGAATTCGAAAGTTTTTGCATTGTCCGATAGGATATGATTTGCTCTTTGTTATTTCAAAATTGTTTGTTAGAAATAGTGAGTAATTAAACAGTAATTCATTAATAAATCTTTTTTGCACTTCGTGAGAACATCAATATTTTGGGTACCATATTTTGCCAATTAGTTTGTACACAGTTTTTTGTCACTTCGTGGGATCATGAATCGCGGAGGCTTTACTTATTTGGTACTTTTTCGACGCAACAAACTTGTTAATTTTGCGCGTCACGACAGTTGAGCGAGGGCGCGTGTGTTCTTTTTCAACATCGTTCGCGCGCGCGTGTATGCTCCCATTCTGCCGCGTGTAGACCATTGTATAATTATTTTCTGTGTTCTGGCGCTGTTCACGAGCTGACTCTTTGTCACTTCGTGTGAACATGAATCGCGAAGGCTTTACTTATTTGTACTTTTGACGACAATTTGTTACTTTTGCGCGTCATACAATGGGTGAGCACGCGCGCGTCTGTTCTTTTTCAACATCGTTCGCACGCGCGTGTGTGCTCCCATCCCGCCGCGTGTAAACCAATGTATAATTTCTCCGGCCCTGCTCACGAAGTGAATTTTTGTCACTTCGTGAGAACATTTTACACTTTTTAACATTTCGTAAAAATGAAAATTTCCGATTTCAGGCTTTTTGTCAATTGTTTGTTTACAATAATTGAGAAAGTAAACAAGATTTTGCCTTGAAACTAGGTTAAATTGTTCCTTGAGACAACTTTAATAAAATGGCCAGTAAAACTCAAAATCGAATAATATCGATTTTCGAGGTTTTTGTCACTTCGTGAGCAAAGCGACGATTTGTTGAATATCACAGAGTGTGATCACAATATTTTTACGTCATTGAGTTGCCCACGATTTGAGGGACAAATTGACACTAGATGACTGAGCTTTGAGTTCACGAAACTAAAATTTAGTTAGTGCAAATTTTGTCTAGAGTTGTCCGCGAATTGGGGGCAAAATTAGCGGCACTAACTAGCGATTTAAGGGACAAATATGCACTAGCTGCGGCTGTTTCAAGTTCACGAACGTGGATGTCTTGAGTTGTCGCGATATGGGTGACAAATATTTAGCACTGGCTGCAATGGCGGAGTTTTGAGTTCGCGAACGTGGTGGATGTAAAGAGTTGTCCGGAATTCGGGGCGGGGAGGAGGCATATTGGCACTAGCTGGCGGACTTTTGAGTTCACAAACGCGGTGGATGTATATAAAAATTTATACGACCATCACAACAAGAAGCCATTACAGAGGTCGCACCACCAGTGAGTAATTTATTGTTGAGATAACGAGTTTCTTAACTGAGATTTTCGTGTCCAGCTCGACTAAGTAAACTTTGTCGTTTTTACCCACCTAGTTTCATGACTATCTCCCTGAACACTGTTCCTCCGTCTGGAAACGTCGCCCTGCATGCGATGCTTCCCTGGCGATGCTGTGGGAGTATCTGCAGCTGGATTTGACTTGAGGTTTCCCAGTCCTCGTTGGTCTCATCTTGGCGTGACTGGTTCCAATCTGGAAGAATCTGCCCCATTCCCGAACAGGCATTGGTATTGATCAGCCAGGTGAAGTTACTGGCTGGATTCGAACCTGACGCGTTGCAGATGAATCGATAGCGACTTCCGATTGTGACATCAGCGCTGCACTCCGTGTCGCTCTCACATGAATGTGTGGTGTTGACTTGCATGGTCACGGCGCTTGGTGGATCTAGATTAAGCCCGGGGAAAAAAGAAATTGTTAAAAAAAAATGTTTAAAATGGGATATTGAACGTGAAAATCGACACACATCAATTTTGGAATGACTTTCAACAAATTATGAATAACTGAAGACCTGACAGAAGTAGGGTAAATTGGTTCCCTCCAATCAAAATCAAGAATGCTGCGACCGGAAATCGGTCTACTCGCAAGGCGGAGCTGTTTGCGAGGAAACGCAAACCAAAAGAAAAAAAAAACCTTTAGTCAGAAGGTTGCAGAAACCACAAATAATTTTCCCCTTTGCACGAATGATACACTGAGTTAAAAAACAAGTGCGAGTGCACAATAAGCTTTAGCCGTTTTGCAAGAAGCCTTGCATGAAAGTCTTGCATGAAATCGATCCAAATGATCCCTGCCAGAGCTGAAAAATGCGACGCCGTTGGCACGTATGGAACATCATACTTTTGGTCGATTTCGGGGACAGACAGACAGACCGTCTTATTGACCGATCGACCGACCACCAGTTGACATGTAGAAGCTCCTTCCAGATCTTAAACATTTAAGGGGGATCTGTTGTAGTACACGGACAGTCATCTTTAAAATCAATCAACAGTTAATATTTTTTTAAAGGAACCACACAGGGAAACTGACTGGGTGCTAACGGTAACCCAATATGTTTTTATGATCCGTCCTCCAGTATTTGACAGAAAAAGCTCCCAGCTTTAATCTTATATGAAAATTATTAACGTTTTTGAAAAATAGGCAAATGTTCCAAGGTTGCGTTGTTTTGGGTCACCCTGTATAGGCCTAACAACTTGAATAAGTTGTTTGTGAATACCTTATTTGTCGATATAAAACTAGTTTAAAACCTTTACAAAAGGTTCGAAACGTCAAGAGTTTGTTTGCCTTTAAGAATAGATTTTGGATGAAATATAACAGTAGTCTACTTACACATTACGTTTAACGTCAAACTCGCGTTTTTATTAGCCGGTTGCGATATACACATCAATTTGGATCCTGTCTGGTCTCTGTACAACTTTTTCTTTAGGCGACTCTCACACGGTCTTCTCAATTCGGGCTCATCCGGCAAAGGTGTCCCGTTAATAAACCAGAAAAAAAACGTTCCAGTTTGGCATTTGCCTGTTCCAAGTTTGCATTTAAACTCGGTCTCTTGCCCTTCTATTTCACGTGGACTTATTCTGGACAATATTACCTCCTGTGTAGAAACTGGAGAAAATGGCATAGGATCTTATATTATTCCATTTCGGGAAGCAAAAACATAATGGAATATTTTTTGAAAAATCTCACTGCCCACTTTGTTCACAGTTGCCTCATGGGCTAAAAAAGTGACCACGCACAGTAATCAGATAATAACACAAACACACACAAGTGTGAATTAATTTGCCTGCTATATTGTCCCTCTTTGTTTGTACTCTTGAAGACCCCTCATATGTTTTGTACATGAATCCAAATTGGGGAGCTCTGGGGAAGTGGGGACCCTATTGTCCTCTATTGTTCAAAGTCCCCTATTGAATGCAGAAACAAACACACACATACGTTACAT